TCTACTTTTGCCAACTACATAACATGCAAATGTCTCAGTTTGTTACTGTACATATGTGTTTCAATAACCGTTTCACTCTGGAAGTCGATTATTGAAAGATGTACCTTGGAATTAAGTCTAAACTTTTGATGCTGTGCACAATCACTGTGTGATTATAATGCCAGTGCACTAATGTACACTAATTGTAAAAAAATTTAAATTATGTAGTGGGGGAATAAGTGTGATATATTTCTTTGATAGGTAGATAGTTGTACACGTGATATCATACAGCTGAAGATACATGTAATAGTTTTGTATCAAAAATACCACTAATATAACAGTGTCTCGCACATGAAAGTGCCCACTGTAATTACTGTTTAGTTTAATATTGTAATAAAGTTATGTTAAATTGTGTTGTTCTTTGCTAAGTCTTTTCTGTTAATGTTCTGCAAAGTTCAATATTATAAAGTGTTTTTGTTTTGTGTTTGAAGCATTTCTCAGGCCTTAGTTTATGTCATAACATTCTACACATGTTAAGTTTAAACTGAAGGCATCCTTGACATAGAAAATGTTTGTTAAGTTCGCAGAGACATCTTTGTAAATCTTCATTATTTGCACAACATTAACTTGTGTTGTTAAAATGACTTGTGATGTATCCTTCGATAGTCATGACTTAAAAATCACTCGATTGACCCTTGGAATTACAAGTTGGTAATATTAGTATAGGTAATCACATGATTTCGAGTGCAATTTGGAATAAATAAGCACAAGTAAATTTTTCAGAGACCAACAAAAGTGCACGAGCCCATAGGGCGAGTGCACTTTGTGGTCTTTGAAAAATTTACAAGTGCTTATTTATTCCAAATTGCACGAGAAAAATCATGTGATTACTTATTAATAATATACACGAAAAACATAACTACAACAACAAATTTTGACAGCGCGCGCGTTTTTAGTTCATTCAACTGATTGGCTGAAACAGACAGGGGCACCCAACGGCAATTTTCGGGAAAATATCTGTTCGGAAGACGATTTGAGATTTAGAATTTTCGGAGCATTTGTTGTAAAATTTCTTTCTTGTCTGCCTCTCCTAGGATTTTCGAACATCGACAAAATGGTATAATTACCCATTTTTAACGGATTTTGGCCCTAAAAAAGGCTACCTAGAATTTTCGGGAGCCTTTTCCTGGCTGAAGTTTTCGAGAAGGTAAGTTTTTATCCCTATAATTTTCGGATCACTAGACTTTCAGCTAGGAAATCCCAACAGATGAAAAGTTTTTAGGGTATAAAAATATGCTTATATCTACCGTTTGAATACTAAACTACGTTCAACAATGCTATGTTAAGTGGTTTTGAACTATATCCTCGTTGGGTGCCCCTGAACAGACTACTACCTTTGTCAAATTCAAACTTTTTCAAGACCAATGCTTTCCAAATCATTCAGCTAAGAACTTGGAAATGTGCAAGGATTTTTTTATATGATCACCAGCCTGTTAAAGATAACTTGGTTTAGAACAATCAGCAAAAGTAAGTGTTTTTAAATTCATCCTCGATTATAAGAGCTCGGCGTTTACAAGAAGCGTTTTCAAGAAGTATACTGCCGTTTTGAAATCAGGAGAACGCTTCGAGCAGCCAAAGATGAAAGACACTTGCTAAGGTTTTTTAACGTCTGTTTATCATAATTTTGTTTGTTCCTGAGACCCCATCATAGCTGGATTCATGGAGAAATTTATGAGATTTAAAACCCGAAAATGAAGGAGGTAATTTGTTTTCTTTCGACGCTGGGTGAGTGGAGCCACAGTTGTTGTGATGTCGGAAACTGCCAGTATTAATATAATATTTGCTTTTTCTCAGCGCTGTAGTTTTCATTATTTTATTTGGCCTACTGCAAGAGTAATCGTAGCTCTTCTTCGTCGGCTTCATCGTAGTCGTTGAGGAAATTTATACCTCTGTGGCCTGTGACACTGACGATATGTTCTGAACTTACAATCTTTGCTTTCTTGATCAGCTTCCTGACTGTTGTTTTTCTTACACAATGATTCGTAAACTTTTTTCTCACTTTCTTTAAGGCTAGTACTAGCTATGGATACTTTCGTTGTGCAAGTTATGGTATTTTCGCCCATTGGTTTAGTTTGGACCAGATGTTTAAATTTTCGGTTTCGTTTGCTACTGAGGTAGAAAAAAAAAACAGACCATCGCATGGATGTTTTAATAGAGGTCTTCGCTCCACAAAAGACTCAAAGAGAGCAGCAAATAACGTACATGACTTGACATTCCCTGTTGTTATCATGGAATTGTATCCTTGTTCATTTAAATGCCTGAAGAGTGTAGCTGTCATGGTTTGCGTGTGGTTGCAACCGTTTTTGTTCTTTAGTTTTTTACTTTAGCGTAGTCTGTTATAAGTAGGCTTGTTTTTTAGTTTCTCTGGTTCATTTTCCTCGATTTTGTTGACAGTGTTTTTCTCTTAGCAACGCATTTTCAATACATTTAGCCAGAAAGGCGTACTTTTTACTGTGTTCGGGTTTTTGGAATATTTTTTGAACTTTTCTATTGTTGTTTTGCTTACAAAATTAAATCCCGTCGTCGTCTGCTGAAAACCATGGCCATTTTCTTGAATTTTTGTTGTTGAAACAGCTCTAATCTGATTAGTTCTTGTTGGTTTCTTTTGTGTTTTCAGCCAATCAGAAAGCATTTGTAATTTGCACTCGTGTTACAAGTTTGCACTCGTGTTACACATTTTGCACTGGTGTTACAGAAGAGCTGCACTCCTTTCTCAGCCAATCAGAATTGAGTAATTTTTTCGTGTATATTATTAAAGGGTTAATATCCTGATGCAATTCAGCTTTAAGGATAGCTCAGGGATATAGTTGACGGTGACAACTCAGTGAAATTTCCTTTTTGCTCAATAGTATTGCTTGCCATGTAAAAGAGTTTTACTGAAAATGCCACACTCATCTAATGACATTACACACTATTACACTTTCTGTTGCAGCCTCTGACTTTTTAATAAATGATGCTTCTCTTATATCCTATCTTCTCTATAAAGGGGTGTTGAGTTTCTAAAGGGTAGCAACTAAAGTCATAGCAAATACAAGTGGTTCATAGTAACGAGTAAAGTTTATTCAGCCTACATGCAACTTGTAACATCCTGGAATATCCTTACAGTTTCTGCTGTTACACTGATAATTTCTTTAACTTCAAGTCAACATCATATTTTTTTCTGATGTGACTATCATAATAGAAACATAAACAGTGAACTTTTCATCAACAATAGATACCCAGACTGCTAAATAGCATTTGAGGCACATGGAATTTTGAGCAAAGTTGCCACATGGGAAAGAATTAGCGTTGGTCTTCTTAACTATTGTTTTTATTGATGATGATTAGCAATATGAAGCAGCATTTACAACAATATTGCTGAGGCTTATGCCAAATGTAAATTTAAAATGCCTTAATTAGCAAATTATATGCCTTCATTTAGGGATTAAAATCCCACTTCAATGTTGCAGTTTAAAGCAAGATGCAAGAATTTGGCTCTTTTTCTGTCACTTCTCGAGGTTCTTTTCCTTCACTGCATTCATGGACCACCTTGACAATCTTCAGTAAAACAACATCAACAACAATAAATAAATGAATCTACTTTGTAATTTATTATTGCTACCAGTAATGGGGTGTTTTTAATTCAATCACTCCTGCTCAAAACTTTTTCAAAAATATTCAGTGAAAAAAATGTACTTATTCCGCACAAAGGGAGTAAATTAACCCCCCCCCCCCCCCCCCAACCCCCCCCCCCCCCCCCCACACCACACCACACAACTCTACTAAAACACTATTTTTTCTCCCCCCCCCCCCCCCCACTCAACAAATACTTTTTTTCTCCCTGGTATGTTGTTGTTTTTTTTGTAGATAATTTTTTGTATGAACATATGATATTCAAAAACAACAAAAA